TGTGGAAGAGGACGCCAGGGCGGCAGAAGCTTGGTTTGGTGTAGAAGGCTTCCAGCCGTACATGTTTGAGCCCTTGCCTCGCAACTCAATGGGAAAGGAAACGATTTTTATTCCTTATTTCAACCGTTGCGTATATTAGCTGCGACATTTGAATCAAGATGCTATGACCAAAAAAATTGATTGACAGATGACCGTTGATATATGATTGGCCGTATTTAGGTGTTCAGGCTGACGTAGAACTAACTGGTCTGCAGAAGATAACGGAAAAAACCCCCACAGATTTTAAGAGAGGATTTTTTTTTTTAAATAGAAATTTTTTAATACATGTTTAAGCCAGAATGATTTGACATTAAAATGACTTCCCTACGACTTAAGGCCATTAATAAAGCAAAGAAGAACATGATGCTGCAGCTCTGGTGGCAGCTCAGCTCAGCTATAAAACAATAATCTCTACAGGGTCTAAACTGCCTTCCAAAAGCAAGTAAAGTAAACTGACATCACAGATGCAGGTGCCGTTGCCCATGTCTCCGTCCATACAGGCTCCGTTAAAGTTGCAGATCTTTCCTGACCAGCTTGGACACGCTGCAAACACACAGATAAGAAGAGTAAAGATCAGAGATAATCTGCTGATGAAACCATGACAGTAACCATGACAAACAGGACAGAGGTGTCTATATTCACACCTTCTAAAAAGCTCTGTACTGGGGAGAAAGAAAGTCAGGTCTGACCCACGGTAACAAGCGTGAATATAACCTTAAAATCCCAAAACAAAGTTTCCTTGGAAATGAAATTAAAAATAATAATAATTGAACTTTATTGATCTAAAATTGCAGAAATTCACTCTCTGCATTTAACCCATCCCCTTGGGGAGCAATTGGCTGCCACTATATGCCGCCCGGGGAGCAGTGTGGGGTTAAGGGTCTTGCTCAGGGTCCAAGAGTGCAGGCTGTGGGGATTGAACCGGCTACTTGCAGCCTTCTCAGAGCACAAGCGCACTGCTCTAAAACACTAATAATGCTTTTTTCTTTCAGGTCTCCAGCTGCTGTTACATTTTTCCTCTATCTACTCCACTGAAGATTCTAGTTAAAGAACATCTAAATATACTTGGTAGGACATGGGCCAAAGCATTTTGATATGAATGTGTGTTTTGTTTATCACCGAGAATAAAAACAATCATAGCGATTTCAACTAAATTCAATACTTATAAGTATTTTAGACTTTTAGAAATGCATAGGTTCTCTCCTGGTCCTCCAGCTTCCTCTCAAAGTCCAAAAACATGACTGTTAGGTTAATTGGCTTCCCTAAATTCTCCTTAGGTGAATGGTTGCTTGTCCTGTTTGTCTCTGTGTTACCCTGCGATGTCCAGGGTGGACCCCGCCTCTCGCTGTAGATAGCTGGAGATAAACACCAGCACTCTTCGCGACTCCAGAAGGGATGAAGTGTGATGCAAAATGGATGAATGGAGTTTTAGACTTAGACAAAATTACAATAAAAGTTCATAAATTAGGTCATAATGAACACACAGTGTATACAAAACGAAATTTCGTTTAGTACAGCTTTCCAGACAGTAAATTAATATTTCCATTTCTTAAGTGCAGCAGTGATCAAATGTAAAGTAGGAGAAAAAACATGGTGCAAAACAAACAGATTGATATGGAAGTTCAGAGCATTGAATATATACGGTGCAATTATGCAGTGTTTTGGTTTGGCGTTGTCAGTTTGATGCAGAATCTGACACATAATTTAGAGTTTTTTCATCAGTGTGATGGAGGTGGGGAAGAAGCTGTTGCAGAACCTGCTGGACCTGCATTGAATGCTGTGAAGCCTCTTCCCAGAGGGCAGCAGACACCTGATCCTATTGGATAAAAGGGCTGTCCATCATTTAAAAGGACCAATCATAACCAAGAAAAAAAAAAAAATCTCACTTATTAAACAGCCAAATGTGCGACAGGCTAGAGATTTTTTTTTTAATTTTTATTTCGAGAATAAAGTTGTAATATTATGAGAATAAAGTCATAAAATTACGGGAATAAATTTGCTATGAAAATAGTCATAAAATTATTAGAAGAAATTTGGAAAATTATGAGAATAAAGTCATAAAATTACAAGAATAAATTAATAAAATTATGAGAATAAAGTCCTAAAATAAGAAGAATAAAGTCACAACATTTAAAAAATAAAGCAATAATATTACGAGAATAAAGTCATGAGATTATGAGAATAAAGTCATAAAATTACGAGAATAATGTCATAAAATTACAAGAATAAAGTTACAAGATTATGATTAAATTATATATAAATTATGAGTATGATTAAGATGGGTGTGAGGGATTGCTGTTGAGTCAACAAGTCGATGCAATCAGCTAAATGTTGTGAATATGTTGTGAATTTGTGGTATAGAATTACATTGAACAGAATTGAAAATTCATGCAGAAAAAATTAATGAATCGTTTCTATAGGAGAAAGCAGAATTATGCATTGTTGTGATGTTGATTGAGGTTTGGTTTCTGATGCAGAAGCAATGAGAACTCTTGCAGCTGTCAGCATTAAAGCTGATGTGACCTGAGTGGGTCGACTCACACAGACACAGTGGGCCCCAGTGGCCGGGGCAGCACTTTGGATGCAGGAAACTCTTCACACACGTGTGCTGACATCCCTGAAGCTCCATCTCCCTGCCGCCGATCTGCACCACATAACTGCAGAGAAGAAGAAGCTCATCATTAAGGATCCTCCATGGAGACCCCTGGTGTTGACCTCAGGGTTATAACACAGTGCTGACCTGCAGTTGTTGGTGCCCAGCTTTGTGAAGCCACGGGGGCAGCTGGCTGTGATGGAGGCGGCGCAGGAGGTGCAGTCGGTGTAAACATCTAACCTCTGAGGGACATCACAGCGACCTGGTGGAGCGGTCTAACAGAAAGAGCATGCATCATTGTCTCGTAGAAAAAAACCCCCACTAATCTACATTTGGAATGACTCATTTTAGCTCAAAAAGTTTTTTTTCAGCAGTGTTGTTTAATATGCCTAAAAGTCCTGCCCCTGTATGTGCTGAACTTCACTCCGACTGTCAGGTGATCTGGAAACTGCCTGATTACCCATCATCCTACTCCTGATGCCTTCAATGACCCCCTCTGGTGGATTGTGTACACATACAGTAACAGTTTGTTTTCAGAGTAAACATACTTTTTAAGTATATCCTTTTATTGGGAATTTTTTAATTTCACACCCGTTCCTGTGTTCATTTTTTAAATTCTCATATTAGTTTTTTGTTTTCATTTTCCTTAAATGTAAAACAATCCAATTTAACAGAAACAAAAGGCTATAAAACCTTGGCAAATGTAATTAGTTTGGAGTTTCTGAGATAAATTAACTTTTCAACAATATTCTAATTTGTTGTGATGCATCTGTACAAAGATCCTTTTTTTGTTTTATTTTTATATATAATTTCTATCCCAGTTATCAGTTGACATGCAAACTAGTAATGTTAATTTGTGGATGAATCTAACATAAGGGGCTAATCTCTATAGCAGGGGTCACCAACGCTACCTGCAACACCAACGGGCCCTCGAGGACCACATGGGGGGCCCTCAGCATCTTCTGAAAGCAGATAAACTCACCAGTGAACTAAGTTTGAAATGTTCTTCATCATTTAAAGAGCATTTAATCATGCTATATAAATAAAATATCAGGAGATTTTAAACATTCAGCATTGTAACCCGTTTCCATAAATATGACATACAGCAAAAATATACACAAAAGTAGTTTTTCTCTTTCAAGGCAGCATCAGTTCAGGGATAATACTGTGACATGAACACATCTGCATGTACTGTAGTAACTGCTATGTGCATGACGTTAAACAGAGTTAAACATCAGACACAAAGATGGACGGGAGGTGGAGGACGGCTGTGGGAAACGGAGGAAGACTCGGCTCACAGCAAACTCCACTCCTCCACCGTTCCTCCAACATTTAGAACATTTAAGCATGTATAGGGATTTATGAATTACAACGTCTAAAAGCAAATTAGAAATGAAAAGAAACCCAGAACCTTCTGCTGCAGCAAGAAGGTTTTAGGTTTGATTCCTGTCTTTCTGCATGGAGTTTGCATGTTCTCCATGAGTATGCGTGGGTTCTCTCTGGGTACTCTGGCTTCCTCCCACAAACCAAAAACATGACTGTTAGGTTAAATGGCTTCTTTAATTACTCCTTAGGCGTGAGTGTGAATGGTTGTTTGTCTCTGTGTTGCCGTGCGATGGGTCCAGGGTGGACCCCGCCTCTCACCTGTAGACAACTGGAGACAGACACCAGCACCCCTTGCGGCCCCGCTTGGGATAAACGTGACAGAAAATGGATGTATGGATCTATGTATCTATCTAAGTTTAGGTAAATGCTGATCCCTCATTTTCATATGTAAGTATTAGTAGCCCATCCTATGACTTAGTCGTCACGATCTGGCCTGTTTTCTCTCCCTTAATTGGTCATTCCTTTCACCTGCCATTTTCCCTCCCTGCCTCAATTATAATTTATTCCTCTCACCTGTTTCTTCTGTTTATATTCAGTTCAGCCTGAGCATTCAGGGCCAGATCATTATTTGTTTTCTGTGAGTCTTTCTGTTCAGTTTGATTTCTTGGTTCATGTCCTGGATCCTAGCAGCCAGTGGAAAGAGGGTTTTGTGTTTGTCTCGTCTCCTGATCATCCACTGTTCCTCCCCCGCTGAGTCCTCTTGGTTTTGGCCCATTATGTGGGGAGGTTCAGTTTTTATCAAAGTAAGCCTGGCTCCAGGGAGGAGACCAGTTTAAAGTCCTGGAAGCCTGTGGATGCCTGGAAGTCTGGATCCTGACACCTGTTCGGTTCCTGCCTGATCTGGATCCTGTTCCTGTCTGTTCCTGTCTGTTCTGGTTCCCTGACCAGGATCGGCTTCCAGCATGTCCTCTGGAACTGCAGCACTTGGGGACATTCTAGGACTGGATTGTTAAACCAGGTAAGTGGCCAACTCAGATAATCATCTTCTGTCACATGATCGTGGTCACTTACCTGTGTTTCTTCAGCAGAATGTCTGAGATTGGGCGGTGCCCTGCTCCCCCTCCTGCAGCTCCACTTTAGTTTTTGTTTTGTTAATAAACATTTTGAACTTTCCTACTGACTGTCTCTCCTTGAATACTAGGTCTTTTTTTCCGCGATTCATGACATTAGTAGCCATGAAGTAGCCCTCATTCTTAAAAAGGTTGATCCCTAATATATCTATAGCAAACTGAGAGCTTTGCTGTTCACCTTATTTAGCTGCTTCTGCAGACAGAGGCAGGACTTTAAATTGATGGGTACCTAATGTGGCCAGTCATGTCAATCAAAACAATTACAATGATGTGTATAAAACAAATAAATCCCAAAAAACAAATAAGAGATAAAAGCTTGATGAAGACATATACAGATCCAGCTAACCAGACACCAAAGGCCACAGAGACGTATTTAAGGAGACTTTAAAACAGGAAGTGAAGATGCCTGTTAGCTTTCTGACTGTGAGTTCAGTCTCCAAAGTTTAGGCATCACAATAGAAACGTCTGGTAACATCTAAGTTTCAGCCTTAAGTAGAAAACAGAAGAAACAGCTGAGAAACGTCAGGTTGAAGCAAGAGCAGAGGATTTTCACTTCAAGCTAATGGAGGCAGGACAGAATAGATGGTGTGTGGTATGTCTGTGTGGTATCGTTAAATGATGGGCAGCAGTTTCGAAAACAAAAAGGTTGCAAAACCAAAGTCTGACTGTGCAGAAAATCTACAGCCACTTATTCCTCGATATCACAGAGACGCTGCAGGAGGGTTTGATTAGGAGTGTTCATTTGGTGTTTTAGGAAACTAAATCCAAGGATCATGCACATAGAAAAGAAGTGAACAATTTCTAAGACATGAACACCAAGATATTAGGAACAACCAAGCAACCATTATTTAGAATAAGACACTTATCTTGAGCAAGATACTTCACCTGCCATGCCTAGTGATGTTTTTTTTTTTCTCTCCACTGTCGCAGGCGCCAGTGTACGGCAGCCTCACTTCTGTTAGTGAGCAGCAGGGCAGCTATGGCTGCAATGTAGCTTCCCACCATCAGTGTGTGTGTGAATGACTGAATGAAGTGTAAAGCACTAAAGTGCTATAAAAGTACA